GCCCTGACCGAGACCTGTGCGGGTGAGTGGAGGTCGGGGTCGGGGGGAACCGGCGTCACGGGAAGAGCGAAGAGACCGCCCGGCGGGGACGCGGGGCCCGGGAAGCCCGGTCTCCGCGTTGTCCCCTGTCCTGACCCCCGTGTCCGCCCCTCCGCTCACCCCTCCGTGTCTCGGGTCTCCGGAGCCTCGTTCCCTCCCGGCCCCGGGGAGCTCGGACCCGGGGTCCGCAGGGAGGAGGGTGGGGCTGGTTTTACTGCCCGTCCCCCCAGGCTCCCACTCCATGAGATATTTCGATACCGTCGTGTCCCGGTCGGGAGGGGAGCCCCGGTACATTGAAGTCGGCTACGTGGACGACACGCAGTTCGTGCGGTTCGACAGCGACTCTGCGAGTCAGAGGGAAGAGCCGCGGGTACCCTGGATGGACAAGGTGGACCCGGAGTACTGGGACCGGAACACGCGGAGAGCCAAGGACAACGCACAGACTTACCGACTGAGCTTGCAGACCCTGCTTGCCTACTACAACCTGAGCGAGGCCGGTGAGTGGCCAGGGCCGTCTCAGGTCCCGACCCCCTGGCTCCCCACGGACGGGCGGGGTCGCCCCGATTTCTGGGTCTGAGCTTCACCAGGAACTGCGGGACCCACGGAGACCCTCCATCTGGAAGAGCCCTCGGGGACCTTGGGTTTCATTTTCAGTTTAGGACGAAATCCCTGGGGCTGCTAGGAGGACAACTGCCGGGCTGACAGCAGGGGCGAGACTAAACGGGGTGTCTGCCTGGGGTCTGGTCCAGGCTCTCACACCTTCCAGAGCATGTACGGCTGCGAGGTGGGGTCTGACGGGCGCCTCCTCCGCGGGTACCGTCAGTACGCCTTCAATGGCCGGGACTACATCGCCCTGAACGAGGACCTGCGCTCCTGGACCGCGGCCGACAAGGTGGCCCAGCTCACCCAGCGCAAGTGGGAGGCGGCTGGTGGGGCAGAACTACGCAGGGCCTACCTGGAGGAGGAGTGCGTGCAGTGGCTGGGCATCTACCTGGAGAACGGGAAGGAGACGCTGCAGCGCGCAGGTACCAGGGGCCGCGGGGGTTCCCCAGCAGTCCTTCTGGGGCTGCTGTCCCACACGGAGAAGAAGAAAGTGGGGTTTGATGTCCTGGGTAAAGTGCTGACTCCCACAGGGTGACCCCTGTGTGAGACCCACACAGGGGACTGGAAAATCAGCTCAGGGCATGTGTGCCCAAAATCCAGGGAGGAGGTGGAGGAGGAGGGATGAGGTGTGGCTGTGCTGATGAGGGTGATTTCTCACTTTCTCTCTCACTGTCTCTGTGTCTCTCTCTCTCACCTGATGAGCGCATGGCCTATGGCAAAACCATAAAAATAAAAATAAATAAATCAATGAATAAAACAGAGAGAGAGAAAAGAAAGAAAGAAACTGGGATTGACTCCAAGATAAGGAAGCCCCTTACTCCTGTCCAGGAGGTCCTCCTGGTTTTCAGATCCTGCCCCAGAGACTGACTCACCCAGAGCCCCTCCTCTCAGACAGTGAGGATCAATCTCTGGGAATACACTGGGGACAGTACTGAAGTCACCATCAGCAGTGTGCAGGGGAGTCTGGCTGCGGTTCTGTCCACCCCGACTGCTCAGGCCTTGATCTCGCTGCCTCCCCAAAGAGTGAGAGCTGACCCCAGTTACTCTGAATCTCCCCTATCCACGTTGGGATAGGAAGTCCCCATTTCCCCCTCAGAGACCAGGATCCTACCTGGAGCTGCTCACCCCAAATCCACAGCCTTCCCAGGAGTAGATCCCCCAGACACCTGAGCCCAGGCTTAGTGGGCCCCCTCCCCAGCCCAGGTGTCCTGTCCACGCCCAGATGGTCACACAGGGCTGCTTCCTGGGCAGTGGAGGGGCTGCACCATGTCTGAATTTCCCGACTCTTCCCCGCAGACCCCCCGAAGGCACACGTGACCCACCACCCCACCTCGCACCGCGAGCCCACCC